GAATCGTCCCTCAAGTCCCTCTTTCCTGGTTCCCTCAAGCCCCCGCCAGGTCGCATAGCCCTCGCTGGCTCTCTCGGGGCTCCCTCCAATAGAACGTCTGCGGCTGGAATCCGTCTTCGCCGAGTCGGACCACTGCCTTGTGCTCCTGACAAAGTCGTGTCTCGCGAATGGTCGGCCTGCTTTGGTTTGCCAGACGATGTCGCCGTGTCGATTGGGAGCATCCTGCTTTCCGTGCCATGTGCGTATTTATTGCCCAATCATTGCGTGCTCCCCAAGTTTCTCATTCGAGTAGTTTCAGCGTACTTGTTGTGACCGAGTCGGCACACTCCCCATGCTCCTGGCGAAGGCGGGGCTTGCTCGGTGATTTGGTTGGTCTGCTTCGGTTTGCCAGGAAAGGTTACCGTGTAGCCTGCTCGCGGTGTGTCCGTATTCATCTTCTCTTCAATCCTTTCGCACTCGCTGATTCCCACTCAGCTTCTCCAGTTGCGCCCCAAGCTGTCTCTACTCTCGCAGTAGTCGCGCTCCTTTTTTTGGGCTGACCCAAGTCAGTCTGTTTCGATGCTTAACTGAATCCATTACTGAGTAACTTCAGCAAACTATGGGAGCTTGCTTGTCAGTGACCGAGTCGGAGCACTGCCCGTGCTCCTGACAGGGTCTGCTCTCGCGCATGGATATGGTCGGCCTGCTTTAGTTTGCCAGACGATGTCGTTGTGTCGATTCTAAGCAGCCTACTGCTCATGGTACGTCTCTCTTGAATCCTTACGTTTAGTTTCTCATTCGAGTAGTCTCAGCAAAGTATGGGATCTTGCTTGTTCGGTGACGAGTCGGACCACTTCCCGTGCTCCTGCCAGAGTCTCGTCCCACCTTGCTTTGGCCAGACGATATGCATCGCCCGATTGATTGGGAGCATTTCTTTGTCCGTATCTTCTCTGAAGTGCTGCCGCCCTCACTGATTCTTTCTCAGGGCATCCAGTCTCGCGGTACCGGCGCTCCGTTGCGTCTCGACTTTCCGAGTAGTTTCAGCAAAGCATGGGATCTTGGTTCTTTTCGCGGTACCCGCGCTTCATCCTCCATCGTCCCAGCCACGCCGTCTTTCCAACGGTTATTCGCTACTTCGTTCCAGCCAATTATAAGGGTTCGCTTGTATGGTGCCCGCCTCGAATTAATTTCCGTGCTCCTCAAGGAGCCTGATAAAGCCCATGGCTCCAGTCGGCCTGCTTACTTTGCGAGTCGATGTCGTTGCGACGATTGGCAGGAGCTGCTACTATACCTGTCTCTCCACAAATCCCCACCCACTCGCTAATCTTCAACAACCACTCTCAAATTCCCGGTACTTTCCGCAACCCTTTGCCGCTTCCGCTTCCGCTCCTTTACATTGCAACCCTTTCTGGCCGCCCTCGTCAAGCGTTCTCCTGGAGCCCGACCCCATCCCTCGCTGGTCGCTTGCCTCGTGCCCACCCCCGCTGTCAGCGTGGGCGAAATCATGTGACTGGCGCCAATTACATTTCTCTTTCTTCCCAATATTCGATGGTGCTCGAGAGTTGGTAGGTTCATGGTGCCGCTTTCCATTGGAAAACACCCCTCTAAACCCGCCATAGGCCTTCTCGGCATTCTGCCCAGGTTCTCATCTCCGCAAACTCGGACTCTTTGTTCGCTCGGAACGAGGAAATTGTTGCGAGCATCTACGGCGCGGGACTAAGCAAGGGTCTGTGTCTTCGCTATCTTTCCATGCGCGTCTTTTGACCTCAGAGATGCCCTTACAGTATCACTTGACTTCGAAGCTTTGCAAAACCAGGGGAACAAAGGCGATGAGCCCTATATATTCCGTCTGGATGATATCGACACCTTGCATACAGAAGTCGTTCGAGTGAGATTTCATTGCCTCTTCATGTTCGGAAAAAGACCAACTCCCTCGTAGGCCACATTGTCCTGGTTCTTCTGTACCGATCATTGGCCTCATCGGACCCTTCGCACCGTGCACGGCTGGCTCCGCTTCCATAGCCCCACACAGCTCGATGCTTTCCTCTTCGCTCTGTCGTACATTCGGCTTTCCCAAGCTTACTGTCCCGTCGCACGGTCCCCGTTGCACAAACCCGCTGAGCATCATTGCTATGAGTTCGACGTGAACGAATTCTACACCATGCGGGCAATCTCGTATACCCATGCAACCACTCATATCCTTCCTGCCGAAATCTTATCCACAATCTTCCTTTTCTTCTCGCAGTCGCCGCTACTGCTTCTGCAGATCTGCTCAACGTGGAGGGCCGTTGCAATGGGAACACCTCCGCTCTGGTGCGATCCGTCCTTCACTTTGCGCCGCTCCTTCTTTTACACGCGCAATCCGTCCTTCGACCACCGCCACCACAACTCTGTCATGCAGATGTCGTCTTGGTTGACCAGAGCCAGATCAGTTCCCATTACTCTGTCGCTAACGTTTCATTCTTCTGGGTATGGGGACCGTTTCGACCGTGAAAATTTGGGTCCCTTGACATTCGGCAGCGTCAAAATACTCGGCCTCTACTGCACCCAACCACAGCTACTCCACTTCTTGGGCGACGACGCGCCGATGCTGCCCTCTCTCGAAACCCTTTCCATAACGGTACCCCAAGTGTCCTTCCACTCTTGTGGTCGTCCTGTGCGATTATGTCGCTCGGCTCCCCTCCTGCGGAGCCTCACGATAGAGACAGAGTCTTTCACAGTGATCGGCGACCACCACGGCCTCGTCACCACCTTCCCATGGCCTCGGCTCACAAGGCTGAGCCTACAAATCGAGCTCCACATGTCCACCTGGATACCCATTTTTTTTCAGTGCCTTTCGCTCCAAAGCGGGGACTTCATCTTACGCCGGGCACGTCGCAGCGATCCGGTGACTCCGACGGTATTCCGCGACCTCGCCTCCCTTCGCATCTCATTTTCAGGCCCAAGCGACACCGGTTTCTTTGACCGCGTTGTATTTCCTGTTCTTCGTGAGCTCCACCTCACAGCCGGGGAACTCGATCTGGAGCCAATGCCGATCCTCCCCACCCTCCGCGTCCTGATTCTGGACACCGTTGTTCCTGAACTTGTGCTTCAGAGGATCATCTCAGCTCATCCGAAGCTTGTGGAACTCAGCGTCAAGACGCTGCACGGCGGAGTGTGCCCCGACATTTGGGGGCTACGATACCTCCGTATCCTGACCATATGCGCCTTCATTTCTGATCCCGACCTTGTCCAAACATTCGTGCAGGATACCGCAGCACGGGTTGTGCAAGCTGTTTCCGCTGGCTGCAGCTTGCGTATATTTGCGGAAGAGGCTACGCTCGATAGCGTCCGCATCGCTTTGGCTGACGAACACCGCGTCAAGGTGTCGATCCACTGCGATCCCTCTCTGATCCCTTCGCCTAAACCCGTGGATCGACTCCTATCACCGCGCCTTTTCTTCTTCTTGACCGTAGAAAGATTGCTTGCCCTGTAGCGACCAGTTGCAATGGACCCTTTCCCCTGTTACCCCGCCCGTACCTGATAGATAGACTTCGACTTGTGTGCCTGGATTTTTGTTATTGCAACAGCATCGAAGCTAGCTCTCGCGCGTTGACACAGTAGCTTATAGAACTTGAAATCCCCTCAAATCTCCGAACTTCGACTATCCGAACCTCGAATGTACTTGTGAAGGAATTCCACATCGAGACAGCCATGGCTAGCCAGGGAGGGCACTGCCACATCCTGGCTCCAATTTGGTCGCTGGCGACTTTTTTATTGCGTTTTGTTTCGGCGAGGCTGACAATAATATACCGGAGACTGGGGGCATTTTCAGCGAGACGCTGAGCGTATCTGTAATTATAAACGCGTTTGGAGGAGCAAAAGAGCGTGTTTGGTCGTGTTGGTCAGCATCCCTTAGCGCCTTCGACCTCGACCGCGAATCGTCCCTCAAGTTCCTCTTTCCTGTTTCCCTCAAGCCCCTCAGGTCGCATAGCCCTCGCTGTCTCTCTCGGGTCTCCCTCCAATAGAACCCCTGCGGCTGGAATCTGTCTTGGCCGAGTCGGACCACTGCCTTGTGCTCCTGACAGAGTCGTGTCTCGCGAATGGTCGGCCTGCTTTGGTTTGCCAGACGATGTCGCCGTGTCGATTGGGGGCCTCCAACTGCTCGTGGTAGGTTTTTTTTTCTTTGATTCCTTGCGCGCTCGCTATGTGTCTTATTCAGCAACTATGGGATTCCCTTGTTCGGCGACCGAGTCGGACCACTTCCCGTGCTTCTGACGGAGTGTGCTCGCCGCGATCTAGTCGGCCTGCTTTGGTTTGCCAGACGATGTCGCCGTGTCGATTGGGAGCATCCTACGCCGTGCCATGTGCGTATTTATTCCCCAATTATCGCGTGCTCCCCAAGTTTCTCATTCGAGTAGTTTCAGCGTACTTGCTGTGACCGAGTCGGGCCACTTCCCGTGCTTCCGACGGCGGCGGGGCTTGCTCGGCGATTTCGTTGGCCTGCTATGAAATGTTACTATGTCGCCTGCTAGCGGTACAGACTGATATGCAGGCAATCCGCTCCACAGTGCTATCTTGCCTGGTGCCCGCTACATTTGCGGTCAAACATGTCCGAAGGGTGAAGAATATATTTCCCCTGAATCCTTACGGAGTCACTGATTCCCCCCTCAGCTTGTCCGCTTTTTCCAGCCTCGCGGTACCTCACCTCCGCTCATTCCCCTCAATCCCACTCACGTATGTCAGTCTGGCTTCACAGTTATATCTTCCCCATTCTCATTCGGGGAGTTTCAGTAAATACTGGCACTTGGCACTCCCTTTCCGTCTGGGACTACATAAAACCATCCCCAGCCGTCTCGGCATTCTGCTCATGTCGTCCCTTCCTCGACGTGTTCCCTAAAATCATTGTGGTTCAAGATAAGACTGGTCCACAGCATCACAGGCGAATATATCCGTCGATGAAGATGTGGACAGAAATCGTAGGCTTCAGAATTCCGGCCAGTGGCTACCACCATTAATATGTCTATACCTTGTTTTCCCGTACCGGCTTAGCTCAACTGGTAGAGCACCAGACCTTTGTTGGGCTATCTGGAGGTTGCGGGTTCGACCCTCGTAGCTGGGTCATTTTTTTGAGCTGTCCTATTTCTCACCCGTTCTTTTTTTGCTCACACCTGCACTTCGGTTGGCTGGCCACTGCCTGTCTTCCTCTCATCGACGTCTCTGCATACCGCCCCAAGCGTCAATCGCTTGGCGCTGTTTACTTCACACTTCAAATCTAGAGCGAGGAAACCTTTGATTTTAATCGTTCCCTTGAATATGCACAACATCGTTGACTCTATGCGATATCTCTACTTATACAAATGAAAGCGGTCACGTAAACCCCCGTCAGCCAATCAGGTTATGAACCTAACTGTCAAAGACAAGTGTCAATCAGTGGCTGTGGCTGCAAGCTCTCACGACCCGGCTGGGCCGCCACTCGCGTCTATGTCTTCGTCTGCCACGTCTGCCCGCCCGCCGCCCTCTTTGGCCTCGGAAAACGACATCCACAACATCCATGAAAGCCTAAGAACGAGACAAAACCCAGAAGGAGAGAAAAACGAGAGCAAGCTCAGACTGCCTCCGTGTTCCTCAGGCTCGCGTCCATGCATACTTCGTCTGCCTCAATCTGTCCGCCTGCTGTGCTCTAGCCTAAAACAAGGACATCCACGACATCCATGACAGCCTTGGAAACACCCTGAATGAGAAAAAACTCCGAACGAGAGCAACCTTAGACTGCCACTTTGTTCCTCGCTGTATGATTTTGGATTCATCGCGTCTTGGTCGCTTCTGTGTGTGTCCCCTGGCTGTCCCGGGTCCAGTACTAACCCTGGATAGTACTCAGAACATGGGAATACTGTGAATGAGTCAGAAGAATGGCTCACACGCCTTCGGACGGACACAATTGGTTTGAGTGGGTGGTCATCGATGGACAGTCTTGGACAGTGCTGTGAATGAGGGGGAGGCCGTGAACGAGGGGAAGCCTCGAACGGGAGCTCGAAGTCCGCATGTTCTCTCACATCGCGTCCCGACTCCAACTCCCGAGAGGGCTGCATGTTCTAATGCTGGGGATACTCGGGTGGTTCACAGGCTGAACGACGAGTGCGAGTTGCAGCGTATAGCGTGTTTGGCCCTGCTAATGTAAACGAAATCTGCAGGATTGTGATGGTGTTTTCAGTACGATAAGGACACGAGGAACCAACCGCAGGTTGGTGACGAGTGTCTCCGTGTTTGCCATCTCTAGCGTAAGTCGAAATCGTGAAATCCAGTTTGCAGGATTGCGAAGGGGTCTGCAGTACGATAGGGACACGAGGAACCAACCACAGGTTGGTGACGAGTGTCAAATTCTGCATTTTGATTGACCACCGCTCTCCCGATTGGATTGGATTGCCATTTGCATCCTGTACTGCTACATGATTTTCCACGTCCGTAGCGGAGCACGGGCTTCTGCTAGTACGACTATAATAAGCAAGCAATCAAGGCTGAGTACGAGTGTCGTCACAGCCCACCCAAAAAAGAGCCCCAGTTCCAAAATGAGCCTCAAGCTTGCGGGCCGCAGGTCGCGAGGAGCGGTGTCGAGGATTTCGGGCTCGGTGAAGTGGACGTATAATGTGATGAAGATGGCCTGGCGCATATTGTGAGCGGGACCATAGCGCACGGCACCGTCCAAGGCGGACTCGCGGGGCTCGTCCACGTTGTATGTCGGGGCGGAACCATGGACGCGCGCTGCGCGTATGTGGGCGTGGACGATGATCTCGTTTCCGTTGCCTGTTGGCGGACGTGGCGTCGGCCACAACAGTAAGTCGCACGACATAGACGAGAGCGTGCTCTATGGAGAAAGAGTCGAAGCCAATGAGGGGGAGAACGGGTTCAAGTTTGAGGAGCTGTTGTTGTTCGTGCTGGGAGAGGCTGCGTTTTCGCGCTGCGAGGCAGCAGTGGCGCGTGGTGCGGATGGCGGCCCATATCCAGGACCTTGGGCTGTGGCTCTCGCGCGGGCGGTATTGGGGCCAGAACGAAAGCTCAGGTTTATATTCCCTCAGCCGGTGCCTCGTGTGGTGAAAATGGCGCCAGAAACCTACCAGCACCATCGAAACCAGAAAGAAAGGGAGAGATCGTGCTGTGTTTGGCGACAGCGCCGGAGACTGGGCGGCGATGGGCGCGAGGCAAAAGGGTAGCGGGTAAAATTGAGGTATTTGGGAAGCCGAAATGGCTAGCGGGCGACGAAGCTGCCGGAGACGGATTCGGGCGAGGCACATGCTTGACGGAGAGAGGCGGCAAGGGTTGCAAATCAATACAGAGGAGAAGCGGCAAAGGGCGAAGGGCGAAGGTGCTGAGGAATTCGAGCAAGACAGAGTGCCATCGGAGGAAGATCCTTCGGAGACAGACGCGTCGCTTGAGGGACGGACTAAACCAATGCTGAAAAACAAGTCGACGCCTTCTTGCATCAGCGCGTGCCGAGGATCCAAGGAAAGAGACGGACATACCTCTAGTAGTAAAAGATCCTCCCGGACGTCGCAGCGGTGTCGTCTGGCAAGCCAAAGCAGGCCGACTGGATCGCCGGGCGAAACGAGACCAATGTCAAGAGCACAGAAAGTGGTCCGACTCGGTCACCGAACGAGCAGAGCCTCCCCGGAAAACTGTCAGACTGAGTCAAGTGCAACGGCGCAAGATAGAGCGTGGCTGCCTGCGAGGCCGGACAGAACGCGCGCCCGGACACAGGACGAGCTGATGCAAAAATCAGCGCGTGCGTGAGGATTCAAGGGAAGAGAGGGACATACCTCAAGAGGCTGGTGAGCGTCGCAGCGATATCGTCTAGCGAGACAAAGCAGGCCGACTGAAACGCAGCCTAACGCAGCGCTAGACCCAGACTCCGTCAGGAGCACCGACAGTGGTCCGACTCGGTCGTCGAAAAAAACCAGTATGGATGGCAAGTCACATTGCTGAGCAACAAGCACAGCGCTCTAACAACCGTAGAGTAGAGACAGAGGACCAGAGCGAAATGAAGCTGAACGAGCGAGAACAGAGTTGGACGCTGTTGGACGCCGAGGCGCCAACGGCGTTAGGATAATACGTCCAAATACGCGCTTTCATGCTTCGAAACTTGTGGGTACAACAGGGGCTGCGCTGTAAAGGCGCTTGGTGTATGTTTGAACTGTACACTCCCTCACTCGAATTATAATGCAAGAACTTTTATTGGAGCGTAAATATCCAAGTACGATCGCAACCCCCCGCCCCTGAAAAAACATGCCGCTCACACACCCTGCGACGGCCGCTGTGGTTTCCAATACTCGTCCTGGTCGTCGCGGTTTACATCGAAGTTCTCGTTGGTCTGGAGATTGAAAACCTCGACCGGCAGGGGTATCGCATTCTGGGGGTTTAGCTTGTCGTGATCGGCGGCACTTAGCCCCGCCAGAAAGAGGGGGGAATATAGATTGCTCGGGAGTCCGCTCATGGCTGGTGACAATGAAAACTTGGTGGCTGGCCCGATCGTCGACCGAATCCTGGGGTGTGGACCAGGCCCTACCGAGACGCCACTCGCAGTCAGGCTTTCGTGGTCCGCGTTGTAGTCCAGCCATTTGAGTAGGTTTATCAAGACCTCGCTCCGCCAGTCTTTGCGGATAACTCGACATGTCTTCTTCCTTCTTTCGGTGCCTATTTCGTCGTCCGAACTCATAACCTGGCCGTTCAGCGAGTCGAAAAGCACGGCGAACATTCTCTGGACCGTCCTGCTGAATGTGAGCTGCCCCGAGCGTTGCCTACGACTGAACAGCTGAATGAAAAGTTAGCGACTCTGAAGTTACGTGCGAAGGAGCCGGGCGTACATGACTGCGGTGCGTGAGCTTCCTGGCCGACTGGCTGAGCTTGGCCATGTACTCGGGATCGCTGGCGCTGTTGAATAAAATGAGCATATTGTGTCTGATGCACTTCAGACGATCCATCCAGAGTGGTCTGAGGAAGCTTTCGTCAACGGTCGAGGCGAAGCCGGAACCCTCGTCTCCCGCAAAAAATGCGATGATCAAAGACTCGCCCACTGCTACGTTCCAATCGCTCTTGGTGACATCGTCCTCCACGTCCAGAGCATAGAGCCCCTTGCCGTTGGGTATTGGGGCGATACCCTGGGAATCGAAAGCGGCGAGGACGTCGAGAGTGGCTCTATGGATGATGAGCTGATCGATTTGGTTGTCCTTGCTGATTCCGAGCTGCTTCTGAACAAATCTTCTGAATGCAGTCTGCAGGTACAAGCGGTTAAGCAAAGGGCCGCGAGCGAAGGCATCAAGATTACCAGTGCGTCCCGCTGTGGCGGCGGCCGCTTAGCCTTCGGTTTGCGGGGAGTAGCCACCTTCGTCTTGTTCGCAGAGTTCGCTTTAGGGGCCGATGATTGCCTGCTGTACGACCCGTGACGTGGCGGTGTGAATGGTGTTTGTCCGCTCGAGGCTTGGGTTTGCGGTGAAATTCCCTGAGTTCTCGGTAGTGGCCGCTCGCCCTGTAACGAGGTCGGGGCGGGGTTCGGCTTGGCGGACGACGAGCCCAATTGCGGTCTGCGCTCGCGCTCAAACCTTTCGTTGGCGATGTCCGGCATATCGATGTCGGTGTCACCACCGCCCTGCCTGCTCTTGTCCCTCTCAGTCTCCGCGGCAAGTAACGCAGCATTCTGTTCTGCTATGTACTTGAGCATGATCTTCGCCTGATCTTCATACTTCCAGAAAAAATCAGAGCGAAGCTCAGGAAAGAAAGCACGGGAGATTCACGTTTTGGATTCGTCGCTCGTTGAATCTTTTGTAGTCGTCCATTTCTTTCGTCCTCATCCGGAACTTGATTGAAGGGATGTTAGACCTTGAACGAGAGCGGACTGCAAGACTGACCTTCGTCTCCATATCTGTCTCTCTCTTCTCCAGATTCTCCTTGATTGTTTTGTGCTGGGAACCGAGTAAATTACCAGGTAACATCGAGGATTCGGGGATCACCTGTGCCAGTTGGCATCGAATGAGCGATTTCGATCTCTCCTCAGCCGCTGCTGCGACCTTCTGTTCAAACTGGATGACATTGAGATGTGACGGAATGTTTCGAATGAATGACATACCATTG